CTATAAATAATCAGAGGATAATAGCTTGAAAAACGTTGGAAATATCTCTACACAAAGTTTCTGAAATAGTCGGCAATTTTTTTTGCACACCACTGTAACTATGAAATAAAGAAGATGATTGTTAGAAAAAGAATAAAGTAAGAGAAAACACTCTGATTGAACTGATCTGTTTAAAATAATTAGCAATGATTTAATACAAAATACGCATTTCGATATTTTTCTACAATTTGTAACAGAATAATTATGTTTTCTCGTTTTTAAATGAATAGATTTAACAGTTCAAATTCGCATTATTTACATATTTTACAAAAAAACCGTTTAGAGACTCGGATCAATTGATTTAAAAAGAAGGACTTATACGTTTTACTTCGAATCTTTTGCTTAAACGTCTGGTTATAACTCAATACCAATCTTTCACGGATTTAAATAAAATATAAAACGTTTTTCCATTTTACATGATAATGTTTTTCTACAAACTTCAAGATCAATATTAAAAAAGACATTAAACACCACTGGAAATCATCGATTGCAATTATTATTAGATAGAAAACTCCGCATAAAAAGACTAGAGCATGAACATTCAGTCTTATCATCCTGAGAAGCGTTATTCTTTAACACGATTAAGTAAAAACATTCATCGTTTCGTGTGGTACATTTTCATGTATCTCATCATTCCACAGCTCACCTTTGCATACATATTCTACTGATCTGTAGTTTATGAAATAATAGCAAAAAATCTTTTTTCTTCACTTAAAATATTGAATTCTCAACTTACCACAAGAACTTTCCACGAACAGGACCTTTTGAATTCGACTATTGCCCGTATCAGCCACAAATATGTTGCCAAAACGATCGAAAGTGAAAGAATACGGACTATTTAGTTGGTTCATTTGTGAACCCCTCCCATAACATCCAACTAAACAACGAAAACCATATGCTCCTTCACCAACAATACGATCATTTCCAGCATCTGCAATAAACAAATATTTTTGAGCATCTAAAAGAACTGCTCTTGGACAATAGAGTGGAAATGTTTGACTTGCTGAAGTTTCATCAGCAACTGTGATTCCATTTGCTTCGCCTAATACAAATAACTGAACTCGATCATTACCACAATCAGTCACATATAAGTCAAAATTAACGTCAACAAATATTCCATAAGGTCTATTAAGTTGATTCGGTTGAAATCCTTTTTCACCAGTTCCAGCAACACGAACTGGTTCCATCACAGGATCATCTAATGACTTTTTCACAACTTGATGTGTAAGATTCATCGAACAATACAAATTGTTGTTGGTATCAACAAAGAGACCATAACATGGCGAATTGACATTCATAATAGTGACAAATGTCTCGTTACTTGCAATCCATCTTTGTACTCGACCATTTTGTTCGCCATCATCGATATAAATATCACCATTTTGTGTAACAAACATAGAGTTAGGACTCGAGAAGTCGCCTGAGATTGTCTTGGTTGGCATAATGCTATTTTCATCCCATATCAAGATCTGACTTCCTTTTCCATCAGCGACATAAATTGCATTATTTGTGTTAATAAACATGGCGATAGGATATTTACCAAATACTGATTGATTAGCAAAAGTGATTGCATTTTCTTCCCAAGCTGCTGTTGGACAAAATGTCAATTGTTTGGAAGCAGTTACTAAAAAGAATAAAAGAAAGATAGACAGAATTTAAGATTTAGAATGAATGAGAATAATGTTTCAATGATTTTGATAAACTTACAGTGGTGTGCAAAAAAAATTGTCGATGGACTTTTCAACGTGCTTCTTCTATAAGTGTGATCTATCCAATTTTTTTTCTGTTGTTATA